ACTTTTCTGCTTGAAAGGCAGTACAAAACACTCAATAAAGAGATTAGTCACATCTCATCCTTTTGAAAGTTATTGTCTAGAGCCAAAAAAAAAGTTCTATTTTTTAATCTAGTTTTTCTTTGAATAGGGAACCGGTAGCTGTAAAGTATGCGAGACTGTTAATCCAGTGCTCTGAATGTACAAAGTGTTAGCTCAAGTATGTGAAAGAAAAGCTCCTGGTTTAGGCACTCTACTTCTAGTCCTACCCAATGACATTTGAAAATTATCTCATCGCTGTTGTATTGAATATAAGATTTCCTAACATTTTCTTCCGGGCTTGATCTCCATCACTGTAAAACACCCAAAGATCAATGCTGTTCTTACGTGTCACTTTTCTCCGTTAGTAATAAGGCCTCCAAGTCATTCACTTGACAATCCCCAGTGATAATGGCATTATGTTTCACTGTGGTTCATCCCAGCTCAAATATTGTATTTAAACGTAACCAAAAAAAGTAGCCTCAGCCTCACATCCCTCAGGTACACAAGAAAGATGCCAGACAAAAAAGAAATGAGTATTGAAAGTAAAAAGCAACAGCTGGTCTCATTTCTCTTCTCTTGAAAGTTGTGCACTCTGGAAGTTGATTTACAGAGCACTGGTTTGAATTCTAACATGGCTACGTACAAAGAACTGCATAAAACTCTGAGAAGCATAATTTGATTTACTGGAAATTGCTGTAGGAAACACAAAGTAAAAAAGGAAGTTTGTGTTACTTAATCTTAGTCAAGCAAGTATTTATGTAACGTGTCAAGCAGAAGAAGATATATAGCTAATAAGAGTGTATTGAGCAGGTAGAACAGATGCTGATAAGCTCAAACACTGAAAGTGACAGGCCGGACAGGGACAAATACTGTGCAGGAAGACTAGGGAGAAGAGGGCACAACACAAAGGCAGTGCAGGAAAAACAGGGAGGAACCAATCCACCCAGAACAGAAAGACTTTTGACTGCTGAAGAAGTATGTGGAAAAAAAGACCTTGAGAGAAATTCCCCCTTAGTGTCTCAGCACCCTGACTTGCAGGATGCATTAACTTTGGTCTCTAAGACCTATCAAGAAAAAAAAAAAGGAGTAAAGCAGCTTTTAAAATGAAGAAATCATGTTAAGATATGGGACTTTTATTTTCCATCTTGCCCACTGAGACTTTCACAGGGTGGGCCTTCTCCTTTTGCCTTGCCATGAAGTCTTGAAGTGGTCTCCTGCATCGCAACACTTTGCACAGCCTTTTCCAGGTCCCCAAGTGTGTCTCCCCATCAGCTCTGACACCCAGCCAGGCTCTGTTCTCCATCCATACCCGGGCGGGAAGTTCCCTGTGTGTATCTTTCAGTTGCTGTTTGTCCAACCTATGTGATTCCCAGCTGAGCATGTCCATTTGGTCTCTGAAAGGCTGCAGTCTCTTCCTTCTTCCACAGGATCTAGTGGTGCATATGTAGCGAGGAAGAACAGACATGTAGCAACACTGAAACCTTCCTTCTTGGGTGTTATCCAGACATTAATTATCCAGGCATTTTTTTAAGATATTAAGGCCCCAAGTGCTTAGTATATGCATGAGAATTATAGGACTCTTGGAGAATAGCCTGATCTGAATCCTCAAACTGTGAACAAAGGTTAGGTTAACAGCCTGCCTCTAAAACAGGTCAGGGAAGAAATTAATGAGGTGGATGTGATACAAAAACTTTTCATAGTGTCAAGGTCAATGGTGATGCTAAAGTGTTTAGTTTAATAAAAGTGTCTCATTTCCATTGCACAGTTATGATTTGTTACAGAGTAAGTGAAATACTGCCCACCTGAAGCAGATGATAAAGGTGACCTCATCTGTATGACTTTGCTTCAAAGGGATTACGAGACACTCTTACAGTCTTAATACCAGTAGATGAGATAGTGGATTGCATTAAGCAACAGGAACAGTAGCATTTTTAGGCTAGCCCAGCTAGCTCAAAAGAGGATGTCTGCCATAGTACGCGCAAGCAAATACAGAGGAGATGCAATGAGAGGGAGATGAGAAGTATAGGATGGCAGAGAGGAGCAGGTCTAACGAGAATCTAAATTGAGATTAAATGATCCCTGATGGTGATGTGAACAGCCTGTAATAAACTGCTGTATTATCTAATTATTACTCTGTCTTGAATAGGCCCAGTTTATCTCTAGCATAGACTTCTTGGGACTCAGTCAATGGATGAAATTGGCCCAATTCATCATTTAAAACAAGCAGTTAAACCTCTGTAAAGCTGTCTGGTATATGAGGTAAATTAAAGTCTTTACCTTCCTCTTTTTCATACACTACAGGTCTAAGGCTGAGAAATGCCTGAGGCCGATTCACTGCCTTGTTAGGCTGACATGCTTGAAAAAGTAATGAAAAGTAGTGCTGAGCAGAATGGATGGATGGAACTTTCTCTTACTTTCTGGAGCATTGATCAATGTTAAAGTCTTTGCTAAAATTTTAAGAGAGCATTTGGTATAGAGCACATAAATATAAAATACTTCCCTGCAGTTCTTCACTGTAATCTAGTGCAGAGATACTGATTTAAAAGACAATTGATGATCCCTGATTGCTGCTGAAGAATCAGAGTGGCTTTTGTATTTTGTGGATTTCATGTGCTTGGGAATGAAGGAGGGCTTTTCATTTACCTTAATTTTGCTCCTTTTCCGCTGACTAAAGAAAGATTTTTTTGGTGTTTGCAATCATAGTCACTGGGTTGACATTGTTCTAAGAATCACCTGAGACGTTACATACATGCCTCTCTTAGAAAAATTTCTGTGCAAATCAGTTTGTGTTGGACGTGAGAAGTCATGATGGGGTGATGTCAAAGGCATGCAAATTATTGTTCTGAATAAGCCCACGGAGAAAAATGCTATAGTCAAAGAGTGTGAATGTATCTGATAAACAACCACAAAATAGTTAAGGAAAAAGAAATCACTGTGGATTTTAGCTCTGTGCTGCTAACGTTAGTGCTTTGTAATTCAGTTTTCTTGCTGGTGAGGCAGTATGATTCTTAGCTTCCCCTGGGACGGACCAATGGAAATGTGGCTGACAGCTGCAGTTGCCCTTTTTAATTATTTTTCAGTTATTCCTCTCATGCACTTTTCAACTTCAAGCAGTTATTTAGGAATTTTCAACCTGGTGACCAACACTGAGGTGCCATACATGCTTGGAGAGCAGAGAAAAATTCTTCACTGATTTATCATCTAGTCCAACAGTCCTTTTATTCGCTGTGTTGCGTGACATTTCTCTGTGCTGCTTGATGGCTTAAGGAACTTGTCTCAGGTACTTTGCATACCAGCATACCAGTAAACAAGATGAAGTGAAAACTAGTTCAGCATATCTCCTTTCAACAGCCCCAGTACAGTAGGATTGAAATGATGAGGGCTATTACATTTTTTCTTCCTGACAGCCTTCAGTTTGTTTTTTGTTTTATTTTTTGTTTTTACTGACCTAATGAAATCACAGAATGTGCTTCTGTCTGGTAGACATATAATGAAAGAAAAGAAGACAAGCAAAGAGACAGTACAGGGCATACTGGAAAGGTATCGTGAGCTATCAGGGATATACTACTGCACAGTACAAGATCAAATATATGGTGGTGTATTAGTTCATCTGGTTATTCCTGTCTTCTTAGAAACAGCTCTCTTCTCTTATCTGTTCCTAAGGAATTAGATTTTCCCTGTGATACGTATTTTTCAGGGTTGTCTGTATAGTTTCCTTCTTCTCTGAGCCTCCTGCAGCAGTGCTGGCGTGTTAGAAGGCACTCTGTAAGGAATTGTCCTGGCAATATCCTTTGGGCCATGAAAGAATTGGGAAAAAATCATGTGGGAAGCAGTCATTTCTTTTAACTCCCCTAATTCCTGGTGTGATGTGACTAAGGGATACTCTTGGGTTGCTTTCTTTAAGCAAATTCCTAGCTCACATGGCTGTGAGGAAGATAGGAAATGTAACTGAGGTGCATCCTAAAGTCTTCAAAAATAGGTAGATCTCAGGAATTTGCTGCCAAAGCCCTCTTGTGTGTAGTACAGAAACTGCATCTCCAGAGCTAGATTGTCCCTAAACAACTATCATTAAGTTATCACCCACATTATAATGTCTGCAGCCACACTGGCTCCTTGTAAGACCTTCTGCAGCCACAAGATATTCCTGCTTTGCCTAATGATTATATAAATGTGGAACAAAGTAACTGCATTTTTTAGAAGAGAAAAGATAGCAGCTCCATTTCTCATAGAATGTACCCTCATGTTTAAAAGATCCTGTGTAGTGTAGCGAATCACCTAGCTTTTTAGCTACTCCTCTAGTAATACTTAGTCTGCATACCAGTAAGTGTCTCTTGTTGCAGACTGGTAGGACATTGTGACAAATATAATCTGCTTTGTCTGCATGTTGTTAGCACTTTATAGCAGTGGGGAATATGCCAGCAGAGAGAGACTGCAGTAATAATTTATGTGGCAGCGTATCACCACAGGAAGTAAAATAGTATTTTGCTCTTTCACAGGAGCCAGATAAAAGGAAAACAAATCTCCAAAGCATTTTTGTCAGATGTTCATCCAGTAGAATTCCCCACAGAAACTCCAATGAGAGATCTGAATGGCTCACTGTGTTTTCCATTTCATTACCACTCAACACTCTAGATTGTAAAAATAAGGCAAGATTACTTAATTCTCTTAATAATTCTTAGCCTTTACAGAAGCATGCAGATGATGAGAAACAGACATCTAGAAATAAATACAGACTATACATTACATTCCAAGGTTTTTTTACCATCATTAATTCTTTAATTCTTCCTTCCCCACAAGCACCCACTCAAGAAAAATACAAGGATCATCTGTAGCAACTGACATTAGTTTCATATAACATAATCAATATGTAAATGCCCACTTTTGAACTGGATCCTCTCGCTGAAAGATATGAACAACTTCAATAGCCCTTGCAGACTTGCAGAGGAACTTAACTAGAATACAGATGGGAGTTTGGAGCGTACCTATGTCCATGATTTTGCACAGAGACCGGATTGCAGAGCTGTGGTCAGCCGCAGCAAGTCCAGCTGCTGTGGTGTAGCGTGCCTGCACACCACCTGCAGCCTCCAGACAGCCCGGCTGGGCTACACGGCCCCGCATTCGGTGCCAGATCAGCAGCCAGCTCTGGGCTGTAGGTGAGCTCAGCTGTGCAACGACTACCTAAGGCACTGAGATCCAAAATGTAGGTACTGAGATCTGCTGGTCAGCTGTTGCCTAACTCTGCAAGTTAGATAAACTTCTATTAGTAAAGTTTCCCAAAGCACTCTGGTTTGGTGTTCCTGCTCAACACCCAACTCAGTCTTCTGTTTATTTTACCTGGTTCATGATACCTAGCTAGAACTCTGTGGAATTAAGCAGCTAACCCCCCCTATCCCCAGAATAAGCGAGCGGATACTGCTATTGCTTCACCTGATCTCACGGTGGTAGTAGAGTTCTGACATTATTTGGGCTGAGGAAGAAATGCCCGCTTGCCTCCATAGGGGTTTTTTTTTCAGTTTTTGTTTTGAAGCCGTTTGGAGGTTTTGCATGGCATTACGCATGAACTGAGACAGAGTACGTAATGCTGAAACCAAGTAATATAAGAATGGGGGTAAGAAAGGTGGGTTCAAACTCTGGGCAACTGCTGCGGATGCTTTAGTGGCGAGACTAAACTTAGCTGCAGGTGTTTCCTTCTACTGACTCCCCAGATAGATTTCTACCGAGGGTTTAGTGCTGGGTAAATAAAGAAGAACCTCGATGAGCGCGGGCGTGAACCCTACGGCGCCATGTGCAGCATAAGGGGACGGTCGTTGTTCACGCTCTGCCCCGGGAAACAAGCGAGCGAGCAGCGGTTCACAGCCGCGAGCGGGGCAGGGACCGGGCGCAGGCATGCGTGGCCCGGGCCTTGCGA